TGAACATTAATATGAATTCATAATTTTATTATTTTACATTTTTATACTTATTTTCTATTATTTATTAATTTATTTATATTGATATTTATAATGTATCAATTTATTATATTTATAAATAATTAACTGCCTTTAAATATTTAAGAAGAAAATATTATTATTATTATTAATATATTGTAATTATGGTCAACTACTTCATTTAATAACTTATTTTTTTATTATTATCTTCTTTAGCGTCATTAAACTTTTACAGACTGATCAAATTGTTTGTAAGCATTTAGGAAGTAGAAATAGGAAAAGAAAGAAGAAGCTCCACGTCCAGCACTGGAAGGTCTTTAACCTTTACTAAAGTTGTGATGATGATGATGATGATGATCTTAAACTAAACTAACCAGTACATGAGGAGAATCATAACCTGGTCTGACATTAACCATCAACTAAACTGATGTGTGTTTCGTTTTGTGTCTTTTTCCAGAGAGTACTCCCATCCGAGGTAAGACATCACTATAAACACAACTAACCTTAACCTAACCACTAACTAATGACTCCAGATGAGCTCAAACGGGACGGGCTGTCCTCCTCCTCCTCTTCTTTCATCCTGTGTCAGTGTGTGTGTTTCACGTGTGTGTTTAATGTCAGTGTTGGGAGTCAGACAGGTGTCGGGTTGCGCTCGGGCCACACGATTCACGCTAATGAGGACGCTGGGTAAACGTGACGCTGCTTTCCTTTCAGTCCTGATCTCATCTCCAGCGGGTCCGCTCGAATACCAACACTGACGTGACACAAACATTAGCAATAGTTCATCAAATTTACTTTTCCAACTCAGATGTGCAGTTTGGAGGTGATATCAGGACTGATGTTCGCTCCTGATCTAGATCCATGTTCATTTCATTATATCTGAAGACTATGCGATGTCTCTAACTTGAATAAAGTGCTTTTTTTTTCACAGCGAGCAGGTAGGTAAACATCAACCGTATGATTTTACATTCATATCCGGGGTAAACGAAGGGTTAACAGCTACACTTAAACTGTAATAACGATTTTGCACTGCTTTAAATTATTTTGTGAAAAAAATTTTTTAGATGTTGGTAAATTTTGTATGTTTACGGGTGCCTAAATTGCTAAAGATTGTGAGTGAAACACTATATATATATAGACTATATTGTATAGACTATATGTATATATACTATAATTTAATCATAATATTATACAATAATTTAAATGTATATAGATAGACAGACAGACAGACAGATTATAGATAGACAGACAGACAGACAGATAAATAGATAGATAGATACTTTATGAGTACATTATATTGGCTACAGCTAGTAAAGTATCCAGCCTAAAAGCTCTTTCGTAGATTACACACTCCAACATGCATATTTATAATGCAAAAACCAGCATATTAATCATTTTGCTGCTCGCTAAACTGAACGTGACTTATAACGCAGCATTTGTATAACGGGATTAGTGACCCAAGACAGAGCTCTCGCCCAGAGCAGCTTCTGCAAACTCAGGCCCAGTCTGGGCTAAATGTGCCGGAGCAGGACCGTTACACCGCGCTTTCAGGCTCCTAAACCAAGCTAAATTACAGCACGCGCGCACTGATTGGATAGCGACTTAGTTGCGTGTTTGCATGTGTCACGTAAACGTTATCTTAACTCATGCCAGTTCGGTCTGTTTGAGTTTTGACCTGTGCACCTCTAAATGACAGTCAGTGCGGCCCGTCCAACGTGGGCACGCGTCATTGGCGTCTTTATGCTAGCGCTACAAGCCAACAGATGGAAGCTGACAACAATTGCATTACGTATCGCCCCCGTGATGATGCTCTCACATTTAATGACCTTGGTGTGTGTCAGTACACAAACACACTAGTCCGACAGTCATTGCACACCAGCGTTTTAAAGCAAAAGTCCCATTTTTTTGCACTTTTTTTCACGTACCCTTTTTGCATATATTTAGAGGATTGTTTGACATAAAATATGGGAATAAGAAATATAGGAGAGGAACAGTTTAGAATAAAAAACGTACTCCTTATTGAATACTACACATTATACACCATATGCTTTCAGCTTTAGTTTAAACAGTAAAGTATAAAGTAAAATATCACAGTATGTTGGTGCTGGCATTTCAAAAATACCTTGAGTGTCTTTTTTAAAGTATTTTATTTGATTTCCAGTTTAAAAAAAAAAGAATAATACATAAAACAATATAAATGAAGCAACCATGCATTAGATATTTAGACTTGTTTTCATAAATTATATCTTGATTATAAGTATATTAAATTTATAAAAACATCCCTTATGTTTTATGCAGTGTTGTTTTTGAAGCAAGTTGTTTTTGGGTATTTTTAGATATTTTAACTGGAAAAAAGTCAAAGTACACTTTTTTTTTAATTTGCAGTATAGTTATCATCTCTGAAATAAAATCGTTATTTGGACATCTTTAATTCAGTTTCATTGGAGATTGTCTTAACTTTTGACGGATTAATCAAAAAATACGTTTAAAAAGTTTTTAGTCTTAAATGTAAAAAAAAAGTATTTTTAAAATTTAACATCCAGTTAAAATTATACAAAAATACACAAAACAAGATAAAAGTAGTTGAAGCAACACTGCATCAGTTTTCATAAATTATATCTTTATTATATGTGTATTAAATTCGTATTAAAGATGCAATTTATAAAAACATCCCTTTAATATCTTATGCGGTGTTGCTTCTGTTGTAATATATCTTGTTTTAGACATTTTTAGACAATGCAACTGAAAAATGAGTCAAAATACAAATTTTTGGCAGTATAGTTATAAAATAAAATGGTTACTTGGACATATTTAATTCAGTTTTATTTGAGATTGTCTTAACGTTTGGTGGGTCAATTGAAAAATAAATAAAAAAAGGGAAAGCATTGTGCATTCCGCATTGCATTGTGGGATGCAATATATCATCCATTGTGCTGTGCAAATCTAGCAGTCATCTCGATATTCTAAGCATTCAAAAAAAGTATGCATATTAAATCCTGCTAGCACCCCAAGTCTTCACCTCTCTCTCTCCTAATCAGTTCCACCCATTCAGGAAAAAAAAAAACAAGAATGTGGTTGATTCCACAAACAAATCAATCATGCCCAGGCATTGCCCACTAATTGAATTACACAAATGGGACTCTAGGTGCAGGAAAAAGTGTGTGTGTGTGTGTGCTGAAGATGGTCAGGCTCCTGTTGGTCGAGAGCTGTTACTGAGCCTAATCAAGCATGCCGAGAGCCGTCACATGCACACGGGCTCTAATAGACAGCTGCATGGTAGCACTGGTCACGGTTCACGGCTCCCCTCGACTCCACACCTGGCTGCCACGCTCCACGCCCCAGCAGAGCTGCCTCCTGACACGGCCTCCACTTTACAGACAGCCCAGCCTGTTTTCCCCCATGATCCGGGATTGGATGGATGACGAGAGATGACAAGACTTCATCTCCCGAGGCCATCGCTAAAGTCCGAACCGGTCACAGGTCAACGGTTACCCCGTGTCCGTCAGTCACAAGCGCACGCCAACTCCGGCTGTTCGTGACAAAAACACTTAATGGCCAGTTTAAAGGACACGGGTCGTCTTGACACCGAAGCAGCGGAGAATTCCCAAAAAGAGCTTTCTGCAGTCCGTGACTAGTTGGGTTTGCCGGCAAAGCGTGATCAGCAGAAGTCCATCAGTTGGCCTGTAGAGCTTGAGAGATTTCCACAGAATCAGAACCGCTGTCAGTCACCAAGACCTTGTGTATTTGTTCATTAAATACTTATTTGATTATACTAATTTGGTTCCACCAACAAACTCCACCAAATTCCATAAATGTACACCCCCCCCCTAATTTGTCCTGATTGTCAGTCAGCTTACACATAGTACACTCAGAAGGCATTTGAATCCGTTAATGTATTCATTATTGTTCTGCTTCAGATAATAGTTCAGAGCTAGAGGGCTCATGTTAGTTAGCTGGTTGCGTCTTGGCACAGATATTCAGAAAATGACTTCCACTTGCCTTTTATCATAAAGGGTATTGTGCGGCGTTATGACTCTTTGAGCTCGACACTATTGGTTAAAGTAAGATAATGGCTTGTTTTGTCACAAGCGGTGCCGCTAACGGAAGGCTACACAAGCAGCCTCAAAGACACCACGGGCAGGATGGATAATGGAAATTCAAAATGTAATTATACATAACAGATAATAATTGAAAACATTCTCGGTCTGAGCGAAAGGGAGATTTGAGGGAAGAGTGAGAGGGATCAAAGACATTTTGTTCAGTTTCCGACATGTTAAATGTAGTCAGGGAATGGTTTTGTTGTTGTTGTTAAAGACCCCTCTTGCGTAGTTAGCTAGTGACTGTTTGGGGGAAAAGCACAAAATGGGATGCACAGTAAGACTAGGAAAGTAACAGAGAATGTAAACACCTTAATAAGGTTAATGTTAACTTTTCCTCACTGTACCAATGAGAAGTATAGACAAAGAAATTGATAGATTTGAGAAAGACTGCTAAAGTAGGAACAGTGTCATTCCCTCCCTCCCTCAGTGAGCTTTTCCAAACCCAAGCGGAAACAGGGAAGGGAGGAAAAAACACAGCTGCAAATATGTAATGAAGTCAGTGGGGAATCGTCAATCGGCTGAATAACAAGCAGGAGTACCCAAAATAGTCCAGTTCAGGCAGGAAGGAGCCCTGAGAAAATTTGCTTGCTTTGGAGCCGCTGGGAATTAATTTGAATTTAATGAATTTGGATATGCTATGTTCCTTCCTAAGATTTCCTCAATGACATTACTCAATCATTAGCTAGCTGTTCATAGAAAAGGGCATCACACCCCACCCCAGCGAAGGCGAGAAAGAAAGACGGGGAGAATTCAGAGCTTCCCGAGAGCTTAGCACACCACTGTGGCATGGTTTATTTATCAGCCCCTGCTCCAATAACATTGAAATTCATGCCTTTTATCTGCAGTCCGAGGCTCCAGAATTGACGAGAGAAGGAGGTTGCATGCCTGGTGGAGATTTCCACCAGATTTTCCGTCAGCGTCACGTAGCACAGGTTGCACGCGAGCGGTTCCCTTTCGGCTGCGCACCTGAGGAGACTTTAGAATGCTTTCCAAGCCCACCTGCTGTCGCCCGGCCGCCCGCTGCGCCAATGTGCACATCAAACGATCCGTGTACCAGCACACACACTTTAGAAACTACCTTCCATTTTTGTCTCTCCCTGCCACGCCTCTAAACTTCCTGATCCCATCATGCTGTTGATCCGCCGCGAGCAGGTGTGAGTCATCGACCCAGAAGCCAGAATCTCATTGGCACCCAGAATGTTCCACAGGATGCAGACTGTGTGCTTAAACCACAGCGTGAGTCCCTGCTGTTGATGTCCCGCCGCCGCATGTGGCAGTAGCCGAAGGTTGACGTCTTCGTTCAACCAGAATGAACGTCTCTAGGGAGAGATGCTACCTGTCGAAAAGCAGTGGTAGAGTACTCGAAGACAGATAAAGAAGAGTTGGTGTTGGGTGGCTTAGTGGGTAAAGCTCCAGTGGTAACGGAAAGGTTCTTGGCTCCAGAGGAAAGCAGTTAACATTCCTAGTCATCTCAATCGCAGTTGCTCCGGTGGTACATTTAGGAAACCACAGGAAAGTGCGTCTAATGCTGTTAAGAGCCCTCAAAACAATTGATCACATTTTATATAATATAATGATAATGGTGCTTGCCTAAAATGTTTTCAGAGGCAGTCAGAATACCTCTTATCGAGTTTGTACTAGGATGGTTGGGTTTAGTGATTTAGCCTCAGAAAATTAGTCCCTGTTGGTAACAACAGTATTTTGGTTTGCAAAAATCATACTTTCTCATCGACTGCCTTCAAGAGTACGGCGACAAATGCAGTAGTGGCTAACTGAAGCTACTCAGCGAATCTATGTTAAGAGCCCTCGAAACAAATTATCACATATAGTAAAATAAAATGTTTTCACAGGCAGTCAAAATACCTTTTATGAAGTTTGAACTAGGGGGTTGGTTTCGGTGATTTAGCCTCAAAAAAATTAGCCACTGTTGGTAACTACAGCATTTTGGTGGCAAAAACAAACAAACAAAAAACATACTTGACAGCCCTCAAAAGCACAGCTAAAAATGCAGGAGGGGCTGACTTTCTCATGCTATTCATTGAACCCATCCCCTTTTTCAAACCCTGTAAACTTAACCCCTAGCCCCTAACCCTAGTCATTACCATGAGTAAGACCTTTAGTACGTAGGTGAATTCATGGTGAAGTTACACCGTACGTTTCTTTGAATAAGGATTTGTATGCTAAGTGGCGCTTAATATAACATTTTCAGTCTGCATGTGTTTCAGCATACATGACAATGACCTTGGTTGCATCTCAACCCTGGGGCCTAATATGGAGGAATATCTAGTGTTTATCATGTACGGCCAATAGCCATTCTCAGTTCTGCAGTAGTATCCCGAGTATTACTACAGCTCTTGGGGGACCGACAGAAATAATTCATGCCCTGGGATTTAAGTGTTGTGCTAAGCTTCAGCCCTGTGCAGCACATTTCGACATGAACTAATGGATGTTCGGCTCACAGCTCACTCTTGACCCTCACCAACTTTCCTCCCATTGGGAACGGCAGTGGTTTATCTCCTTCGACTCCACACCCTGATACTTCCCGGCACACTGATTGATGCGATCCAGCACTCCTGCGAACACCATAACATTGCTGCTAGTTCTTTTCCGTTTGCGTTTGACGGGATGCATTCAGACATATTTAGATCAGTCTAATTTTTCTTGCCTTGAGTGTGGAACTGCTCAGATTCAACACAGTGAGTTAAGCGTTAAAAGGCGAAGTTGGCTTTCAAACAGGAAAGGCCTTTGAGCAATTTGTGAGGATACGATGCTGCACCAAACATACAAAATAAAATGGTTTCTGACAGTCGTGTTACTTTCAAACCTCTAACAGTTTGCCGTCTTTTCCCTCTCTCTGTCTTTTTTCCCTGTCTTTCATCCCTTTCTTTGGGGTGCATTTTTTTGCTCTCCCAGGTGCTCTGCAGATAGAAAACACTGAGGAAACCGACCAGGGGAAGTACGAGTGTGTGGCGTCTAATGTGGAAGGCGTCCGATACTCTTCCCCTGCCAACCTGTATGTGCGAGGTAGGGAGCAACCTGGCCGTGGAGCTCATCGAAAGCCACCAATCAGAGATGCACGACCGGTCACATGACCTGTTAGATATAAACTAATAGAGTCTTTTCGAGGCACAATTTCGATACTTAATGGGTAGTTTTCAATCTTCTGTTTAACGGGCGGAAAGTTGGGTCGTACAGGTATGTTGTCTAATCATGTTTTCAGGTTGAAGAGGATGATGGTAAGTCTTGATTTTGATTGGCAGATGCACTAAACCAATCAAAATGCTAACTTATTCCAGCCACAAAGGTAAAAAGGTAAATTGTTGCAAGGTAAACAATATGCATGTTGCTAATCACATTCAAAATGTAACATGCTAACGAGTAATTGCTAAATCTAAATAATTAACAGTCTGTCTTGTTTCAGTGGTTATTTTTATAATGGAACGTCTGAGACTGTTTTAAGGCATTGCATTAGCACAGACGACTCTTGACGCTAACATTAAGAGGAGTTGAATCTCCAGGTTGATGACTCTAATAAATCGAGGCAGATGCATTTTGCACATGTATTATTTATTTAATGCATATTAAAAAAGACAGTGTATGGGATGGGTTTTACCCGCTGTGTACCAAATAACTTTGTTTTGGATAAATTATTCACTGGCCATTATAAAATGGGTCAGAGAGTTGTCTTTTCATTATTATAGCTATTATTGTTCTCCCACTAGAAAAGATGCAGACGCTCCATCTCAAAACGACGGGTATACAGTTTCAATGAAAATTCTGTCATTTACTCATGTCGACCCCCTTACTTTCATTGAATGGAGAAAAAATATCTTCTTTTGCATTCTACAGAAGAACAAATAAAGGTTTCGATTAACATGAAGGTGAGAAAATGATGACAGAATGATCATTTTCAGGTGAACAATCCATTTATTTATTAATTAATTTACAAATTATAAAATGCATAGTTGCGGCTATAAAAAAACTATATTTAATTGTGATTACCATAAATTATAAATGATTGACTATTGGTGTGTTCTATCAGTTATCACCTGTTTATTAAAGAAATATGCCACAAGAGGCCTTACTTTTGCAGTGATATTACCATGGTAAGGGTATTTTGTGCACATTATACCTTATAGCAACTCTTAACCATGGTAAAATCAGAGTAAAACTATGACTTTATGTGGATTACTGCTATTTTACTCTGTTTTTAAATATTGAAGTCATTCAATTTTATAAGACCTTAAACAGTGTTAGATGTTCAGTAACATTTGATCTGATGTCTCGTGACATTTCAGTAATTGGCCGACTGGAGATTTCTGAAATTAATTCAAATTACTGCAGCGATAATTAATTCAACATAGGTATGCTAATTTCTCACTGATTATGCGCATACTGCATTAAGACCATATCCCGTCTCCTTTTGTTTTGTTTTCAAAGCTTAATAACTGAGTACAATCAAATGTTTTCTGTTCTAGAGTTAACGGCACTTGAAATTAGCAGCTACGATGGCGGAAACAACCCGCCCATTTATCCGAGCAAAACTGCATTTACGTGTCGCATAATAGCGCAACACTTTTAGAATCGGTTGCCTTGATTGTAGCTGCTAACTTTAATGCTAATTATGTGGTTTTTATTTGTACGGTCGGTTTGATTTGGTTTGCACTTTGGGTTGTTTCATTGATTTCTGTTTTTGTGTCTTTGTTTTGTTTCTGTAATTAAAGCCACAGCGGCAGTTCTTCAGGTGGCTTAAGACCTTGTAATTTTGCATTGTTATAACATGCTTGAACTGACTCCAGTGGGCGAACGCAACCACTGGAGTGAATCAAACTGTTTGGGGTCAAAGCAGGTTAACGCGGCAGACATGTCGCGTGTCACGCAAGAAATAATCAGGCCACATCAGTCAGAGAAATGTAGCAGCTAAAAGCCTTGAGGTGGCCTTTTTTACTCTCTCTGTGTTTCCCCTATTTTTCTCTTCTCCTCATGTCATTGTGTTCTGCATCAACCCCTTTACATCCCTCAGAGCTTCGAGAAGGTTGGTGTGTTTTTTCTTTTTTCACTTTTTTTAACCCACATTAAAAACGCAAAATCAACATGTATTAAAACCTTAACCTTGACTGATCTATTGGAAGGATCATTGGCAATTTCGGAATTTAAAATGAAGCTGCTAAATAACTTTTAAATTCTGAGAAATTTGATTTAATTGCATAAACTAGTAGTAACTAACCCGCTAATTCGGGTTCGTTTTCCTTTTTTACGTTTAAGTTTGCATTGTGGGGCCGTTTCTCGTTTGCATCCTTCAGTATTGCTTTTGCCCAAAGAAAATGCTTATGCTGTCATGGAAATCTCGCATTTGAAAGTAAACCACGGACTGATGCATGATGGGAGAATGTAACTGCGCTTGCATGCCTCGAGACGCAATTCCTTTGGCTGTCGTGCTTTGTTGCATTCCTGTGTTTTCGTGAGGTTTATTATTTTTGTCCAAAACAACAATTTGAGCCTTTGTTGGCGACTCATTTAGTCCGTTCCTTGTGTTGTGGTGTTCTTGTGATGTGCACCCTTAATTTTGTCCATTTTCGACTCCCTTTCTGTTCTAGTTTCTGGTTTGTTAGATGTGGTTTGTGTTTCTGTGCACTGTCGTCTCTTGTAGGCTGTTTCTACAGACAGTTTTCCCACCATCTTCTCAATTACAAAGCCGTTCTTGCACACAAAAGCTTGCAAATTCACTTCTGCTAATTAGTTTTTTGTGCCACATGGATCATTGGCAGATATAATGATCTCCGCACTTCATGTGGCCCCCCCAGAAAACAGACTTTATTTCACAGCCACAACAAGCTAGTGATATTTCCTTGTGATGACTGACTGCCTCTTGCCCTTTCGCTGTCCGCAGGCTCAATCAAATCAGGATTTATCATCCGCTCGAGTCCTTGTTGCCAGCGTATATCTGAAGCGCTTCTTACATCACCGCAACGTGCCGTATTAAAACCCCCAAATTAGACCAGAACAAAAAGCTGGTGCTTTGTTTGTGATTCTCTCGATGCTAATGCAGCTGAGTGCAGTAATTGCACGCCTGTTTCATGTGCATATCGAAGAACCATCTACCTTTGGCTTGTAGGTAATTTAGCTGTACGTGTTGGTTGCATGTAGAGCCGTAGCAACCACTAATATTTACCATTTTTGTGATCGTCCACAGTTTTTGGGAGATTTTCAGAAACTTATATCTAAGTATAAAATATCTAAGCATACTTAAAACAAGATAAATTTACTTAAGAACCAAAACTGTGTACATTCAAAATTCTGTATTAGATAAAAATTGAGATAATGTCTTAAATTTAAAATTCATTTTTTCTTATCCAATTGGCATTTTTTTAAAGCAAAAATCTTACAAAATCTTACAAAATCTTTCAATTTAATTTAATTGAAATTTAAATTACATTTTAAATGAAGTTTAAATATCTTTAAGTTTTTTTTCTTGCGCCTTTGCTTTTCTTAACGCAAAAAAAATACATTTTATTCGTTTTTCTAAACTCCATTAACACAAAAACAAAATCTTATGAGTTTATGTCTTAAAGTTTAATTTAAATAATTTTTAAATTTAAATGTTTAAGTTTAAATCTCAATTATAATTTTTTTTCCATCTAAATAGCGTAGTTTTTTCTTGGCCCCTTTGGAATTTTTTAAAGCATAAAACATACAAAATTTGATTAGATTTATGCTTAAAACTGGAAAAGGCAATTTTCCCTAATTTTTAAATTTAAATGTTTAAGTTTAAATCTCAATTATAATTTTTTTTCCATCTAAATAGCGTAGTTTTTTCTTGGCCCCTTTGGAATTTTTTAAAGCATAAAACATACAAAATTTGATTAGATTTATGCTTAAAACTGGAAAAGGCAATTTTCCAAAAAAATTCATGTTTTATAAAAAATAAATACAAATAAAATAATAAGTAAACAAATAAACGAATTCACATATAAAACAAGTATAATTAGAGTACAAAATTTTGTTTCTCAAGTAACTTATCTTGCATACATTTACTAGAAAACAAGACAAATGTATTGAAAAACAGTTTTTAATCTGTTTTTAAAACTTTTTATATTGTACCTACAATTATGGTCACATGTGTTGCCGATAGGATTAAATATCTTGTCGCCGAATGTGGTAAACATCCCTGTGAAATATTTTACCATTCTTTAGTGGTTGCAATTCATTAATTTTTTATTTATTTTTTTGTAGCTGTACAATGATGAATCAGGCGGAAAGCTTGCATTTAGTCAGACAAGTTTGTCCAATCGTGCGGATGGCTAACTCTCGGCTGATATCTCATAGCTCTCCCCAGTGTAGTGATGTTTCAGATGGCCGTTTGTCTGTCTGTCAGGGATAATGACATAGAACAAGAGCCTCTGCTTCACTTGGCTAATGCTAACGTGTTGCCGGCTATCTCGTGATGTCTGAGACTAAATGGCTCTCTGAATTATTCTGTTTTTACAGACACTGTGTTGTTGGGAGGGGGGTGACGCCACATGAATTGAGGGTATAAATAATGAAGTGCGCTTTGCCGCTACTGTCTCTCAGGGTCTGGCATTTATTGACAGAGCTTTATTTTTCATATCCGGCTGTTCCCACTGTGATATCTGTGCCCCCTGTACCCTGATAGCTTGTTACTGCTGCCTAGCATGTAGATAGTGTAACAGAATGAACGTATTAGCTTTCCCTAGCTGCATGTTAATCGGACTGTACAGTTAGCAAAAACAAAAATACATTTTAAACATTAAAGAAATGTAGCGGTGCTAGTGGCTAACATGCTGTAGCTTGAAAATGAGACTAGCAAAACATTTTCAGTTTTTGTGAGCTAATGTTGTGCTGCAAAAAAAAACAAAAAAAAAACATTCAATTCCATTTGCAGCTTTAATGGCTAGCCACTCTTTTCAAATTTCTCTCTATATTTTTTGACTAGATCTTCTTGTTAGCTGTCTACCTCAGGCGTGGAAGTTAATTGCCTCCGTATGGCAAAATCCCCCTCTGAGCCTAGACTTATCTAGTTCTCTTCTATTTCACGCCGAATTAATAACAGAAATTACGATTCTTCTTGTTCCAATGAAGTCTCTAATCTTTCATTGTTGCCGCCTGACAATGAAGCTCTCAACTGTTCCTCCATTCAACTCCACATAATGCCAAAATGTTAAGGATTCAAGATCCCAGAATGTTTCCAGGGCATTATTAATAGTAATTAGTCCCCGAGACGAGTAAAGCGAGACCTCACAGATCCACTCCGAGATGCTGGAAGACTGAGCTGTACCGAATGCCATGCTAAATGCTATGAGGATGTTCGGTGCATGCGCATGTAGATGCATGTGAACCCCACTGCTACCACTTTGGGTTGTGTTGCATGTCCTTGCATGCTGTTTTGGTGTACAAATAGAAATGCAAGCTAGATCACACCCTCTACTTGTCAGAACGAAGGCTAACTTTGATCCAAATAAGTGTCATAAAGAGGCAGTTTTTTTTGCCAAATCTAAAATGCAGTTCAGCCTCAGATTTTCACTAAGCGCTACTCATGCATTGACCAGACAATCAGGAGGTAGTGTTTTACAAATGCTCCATTTTTCATTACTAGAACTAGTCCGAACCCCAACTGAGGCTGCTTTGCATTGCAGCGGCAGAGGTGTGTGTGTGTGTGTGTTATAATACGGGAAAACCCTGCCGTCTACATGCAAATGGCCTCGCTACCTTCAAGCGAAATGGATTATTGCAGGTTTTGGACATCAAACAGGGTGTAATCTCAGCTTCAAGGTGACATTAAAGGCTGCGCAATATTTTGGTTTCCCTTCCTACCTTAATTTTGGGGCTGGACAGACTGTCTCACCAAAATGGCCACGAATGTCCACCTTCGAGCGAGGCACTCTTTGGCCTTTTTATTTTGTCTTTCTCTGTCCGTTATAAGACCTCTTGAGTTGTCTTTCTCTCCACATTGGGCTTGAAATGGGATTTCGTCTCTGGACCTCAAAGAGATCGCTCTCGGCCTGCTGGGCTCCTGGTCGTATTGAATGAGGAGCATGTCCGTCCAATTGGACTGTTGTATATTCCTCTGAGTATCACAGTGGAGAGCACCATCGCACATCAAACGTCAGGATTTGAGCTATAGGGCCATGTGTCAGGACTTAGATAAAGCCCAGAATGGCTTCATGCAATGGCATTTCAAAGGCCGATGCATCGATAGCGGCAGCCGTAAATGTCGACATGCATCTGAAAACATTAGACCCGCTTATGATTCCCCCTTTTGCCACAGTTTATTTGAGCGCGATGCTTTGTTGCCTGTGACTTTGAAGTTGCCAGGCTCCTCACGGTCTTTTCAAATGGTTGTCCCGTTTCGAAAATGACCCGATTGTGTCTGACTTTTCATTATAATTGGGAACGTTCAAGTGCAGATTGAGCATGCAACAATAGGATGAATGACTCACAAGGTGAAAGGTTGCAGCCCTCATTCGCTCAACTACCTTAGCAATTGGTCAAACCGAATTTGACAATAGGAAAACGAACTTCAGCTTTTAGCCTCTTGCAGACTTGATTAAAGAACGGCCAAATGTTGCATCGCCCATTTTGAGGCCCACACACAAAATGTGCCAGCAGAACTCATATAGCATGTGTTTATTTAATATATTGGCTTATTTAACATATTTACCACATTTTACCATATTTATTTCCCTAAAATCAGTGCAGGAAATGCAAAAGCATCAGCAAATTACGTCTGGGCCTTTCCATCATTAATCTACACTAGAAGAATCGCTCTCGTCTTGTCATTGTCACGTTGCACTATGTTCTGTCACTGTTAAAACACACCTGCACTGCGATTATCTGTGTGTGCTGTGTCGAATTCACCAATTCCGACATTTCAGTTGTGTGGATTCCCTAAAATGTTGCACTTGGGGAGGGTTGCATGCCTCAATTATGTGTTGACTGTAGCTGTAGGCCTGGTTGATAGTTTGGTGCCGTTCTGTTGATGTCATTCCTGCAATCACAGTCATGCATGCACATTGTGATACGTGGGCTGCCCTTTCAACTTTGTTGAACATTTGTTCAATATGCATTTATATGGGGGTGAGGGTCGTTTTCAGTATGCCATTGTTTATTTTAATGTTGTTTTTGTTTTCTAAAAAAATCAAGAAGTATTTTTCCTTAATTAAAGGAGTGATCCAGGTTCAGTGCAAATGAAGCTCTGTTGCACTTGTGGCGTAATGTTGATTACCACAGAAAATAATCTATGGAAAATAATTTAGAGGCACACCATTTAAACCACATTTTTTAAAATAATAATAAAACATTGTTTAATAAAAAAAATAAAAAAATTAATTTAAAAAATATTTTATTTTAATTTTTTTTATGGAAGTCATCATTATGCCTCCAAATGCTATGGATAGAGCTTGACTTCAATATACCTGGACATTTCCTAGAAATAAATTACTATTTTAATTAATTAACTTAAATTAGTTTTAAAAAATCAGTATCAAAATAAATTTAAATAAATTTATTATAAAATGTATTAACACACTGTTAAATATTATTATAAATATTATACATTTATAAACTAATGATATAAAGGTAACTTGATTATGAAATGGATTGAGTTATAATGTGATTTTCACTCACTGGACACCAACCGAGGTCATCCATCACACTGGCTCTCTGAAACTGAATATATTCATGTTTAATTATTGCTGTAAGCTATAGATACAGAATTTAGAATGTAACGCTAGAGCCTGTTGCCTTGACTATAACAGTATTTCTAAATGTAAAAGTACTTAGTAATGTTTATTTTCAAAAAGTTTTTAAAATTCTACATTTTGGCGCCAACATTCAAACTAGATTTAAACCCACTGAACTTTCGATGGTGTTTAATTACAAATTCAAGACTTTATGCTCTTTGGCTGCTGTTGTCCGAGGCGATGGTGAGAGGTTATTCAAGCCCCATTGTGAGAGAAGTCAAACCAACATGCTTTTACTCCAGTTGGCCCAGGGTTACAGTCTCCTCTTTGCCCCAATCCCCACCTCTCACTCCCCGTGTTATTTCCCTTCTGTCTCTGTCCCACATGTAACGTCCACCACTTTGTCCTTCCAGTCTGTCCGGCCCCGTCTGCTGTCTTGCAGCCTAGGTCTTGTTCTGCCTTGTGCCCTGTCTCTACCAGTTGTTCCTGTCCTCGTTTTGTCTATGTGGGGTTGTTAATTTTCTTTTTTTTTGTATTAGTTTGGTTGTTTGTTTGTTTTCTGAGCTAGCCCTAGCACCCATTGCTGTCCCTCTGTCTTTCCTTTCTCCTCTTGCCAAATGTAAATGAGGCATGACCCCCTCACCACCCACCATCTTATGACACACCTAGCACTACACTACTTCCTGTTTCATTGTCATTTTACATCCACCGACGTCAATAAGGCAGTTGCCTTGACAATTCTTGGGGAAACCAATCTATAAAGTTTGACACAATTCTAAATTTTACATGTAATAGGTAGCACTTCTTTAACCTGAATGCTATTGCTTTATTGCTAGTAACGTCTGTATACTAATTGTAAGTCTATTCCAAAACCTTGCAAGAAAACTAACTAGATGTATAAACATGCACCTAATACCCAGTGTTTTATAAGCAACTTTATGGAGATATCTAGTTTTGGCTAAGTGATAAGATAGAATTGCATGTATCCTTCTGATAAAAGGTCAATCAAAGAATCCACCCAAAAGGTCAAAAGCGGAAGGTTTATGGAATAATTTCATTCAAGATGTTTCAGTCTAATTAAAAATGTACTGCTTTGCCCAATATTTGCATCAGACTTGGAAACGGTTGTGAGTTGGGTCTTTGGAGTATTTGTGTATTTAGAAAGTTCCCTTAGAAGGTAACGGCCTAGGCAGCTTGCTAGGTTTTGGAACAGAGTCTGTATTTTAGAGTCATTTAAGTTTCCATTGTTTCTTGACTTTTCAACGAGTGATGTCAAAATAGCAAGGTTACCAAGAATGAACATGCCAGACAGGCTATGAAAGAAGCCTGTTGCACAACCTGGCCAACTCCATCTCTGCCATAAATCATATCCAACCCTTTCCCCCAACAGATCCTTCATCTTTTCTCTCGTGTGTAGGTTTGGCATCTCAGTAGTTGAGGTGCATCGCTGTCATCATCGTAGACTAGCATCTGTATCAGTCATGTGACCTTATTTGGTCAATTTGTAATCATTTTCTTTCTGTTTCTTGTTTTTGTTTTTATGTGTGTGATAGTTAGTTGAGTTGAACTGACAGCTACTTTATTGACTGAATCCAGAATTTCCGCTGTAAATTGTTACGTCTAGCCAGGACCGCAATGTGACAATACGATCCTGTCACATTACGTCATATTGGCTGGAGACGATAAAAAGCCTTTCTCTGCATTGAAGTGGGTTTCCCCCCCCTCGTTCCCGTTTCCCAACCCTTCCCTTTCTTCCTCTTTCTTGCTCTTTTGCGCGTTCTATTCTCTTATATTTCTCTTTTTTTCCTCTCCAGTTGTCTTTTGTCCGGGCATGCTAGCGACCCTTCAGTTATATTCCTCTATGCATTTTATCTCAAATTCTTCTCTCTGGTTTTATTGTTCCCATTTACTCTTTGGTTGACCTCTACCTATTTCTGCATGATGTCTGTGAAAATGACAGCTGCATCTATCAATGGAAGCGTGTCAGAACTTAAAAAGGCTTTGTCTAGTTGATCTACTCTCAACCACAAAAATCTGATTAAGGTTTCTCATCTTTAGTCCCTCTTGAAGGGATTCACCTCTACTAGTGCATGTACGTACCAACATGTACGTACAGTTGTGTATATGTAAGGTTTCTTTAGCATGGGCAGATTTTTAAAAATTGCAAAAAAGTTTTGTTCTTCACACTATTCTATACTCTTGGAGTATTTTCTATTCACACTATAAAGCGTTTCTGCTTTTTAACAGTAATGCATGCTTTTCATTTTGTTTACTGTAGTTACAAGCCACATAGAGATCTAATTTTAAAGATGAGAAACTCATAATAGATTTTTGTGCAATTAATTGTGCTGTGATGGGTCAAATATTGGTCAATGGAACCTTGTTGCTATGAACTTGTTGCTTTAATGTCAATCTATATTGTTGGTGAAGCAGTTCTGTTAATTTAGTTACTTTATAATTATTTTAATTTGTATAAACCAAAATGTTTGTGAAGTTTTAGTCTCATTTGTTTTTTATAATTTGTTGTCCTCTCTTTAGACAACATCATGTACGTTCTAAAGAAAGGCTCATTTTCATCTACGTGTCATTACCTTTCTCTTTTTCTTATCGCCATTCCTCCGCCCTTTGCAGTTCGTCGCGTGCCCCCACGTTTCTCCATCACGCCCCCCACCATGCAAGAGATCATGCCAGGTGGTAGCATTAACATCACTTGCGTCGCCGTTGGCTCGCCCATGCCCTACGTCAAGTGGATGCTTAACTCTGAGGACCTGACACCCGAGGACGAGATGCCAGTGGGCAGGAACGTTCTGGAGTTAAACGACGTCCATGAGTCGGCCAACTACACCTGCATGGCCATGAGCAGCCTGGGCATCATCGAGGCTAATTCCCAGATCATTGTTAAATGTAAGAATCCACTGACTCCTCCAAGGTCACTCAAAGGTTCTCTGGTCAAAAGAAATTAAGAACTAAACCAAAGCAAGTATTTCAAATGGTGTCAAGTAGGACTGCACGATAAATCGAAATGGAATCGAAATCGCGATTCGACAGAAGCTGCGATTGTCATGCGTATCTTTCAGTGAAGCACGGTTCTGTGATCAGCAGTAAATCTCCATCCAAAGGCCAGAGGGCGCTCTCGCGCTGAAACTCCAAATACGCCTAGCAGAAGAAACCTGGGAAATGCCTATAGCGGTAGCTGGATAAACAGAAGATTTAACTGCTTTTATTGATTCAACGTGACTAATAAACACACGATTATGACAATATATGGTTTATCTGAGATATTATTATTATAATTTTCATTATAATAAAGTATATTTATGATGCAATGCCTTTATCACTGCTTAGAATACTATGAAATATGTTGCGTGCCTTATTCTGTGTAAGAAGCCACATCATCTCACAGAAGGATTTATTTCAAACACTCGACTGACGTTATGAAGTGAGTTTGGAGTAAAAATATGTTATTAAATGTGGTATTTTCACATGCTTGCAGATGGAGCAGCATTTACTTCACAGAGCCGTTGCGCATGACAATCGCATTTGATTAATCGTGCAGCCCTAGTGTCAAGTCCCAGTATTGGATGTTTACGTCTACGGTATTTTCTTATCCCGCCCTGCAGCCTTGCCAAAACCTCCAGGTACTCCTGTTGTAACCGAAACTACCGCCACCAGTATCACCATCACCTGGGACAGTGGCAACCCTGAGCCCGTCTCCCATTACATCATCCAGTATCGTGCCAAATCTCCCGAGAGCAAGTTCGAGACCGTGGAATCCATCACCACCACTCGCTACAGCATTGGAGGACTTTCTCCGAACACCGATTATGAGATCCGGGTGTCAGCCTACAACACCATTGGCCAAGGCCCGCCCAGTGAACCGGTTGAGGCTAGGACTGGAGAGCAAGCTCCCGCCAGCCCACCATGCAACATCCAGGCCCGTATCATCTCCCAGAACACCATGATGGTACGCTGGGATGAACCCGAGGAGCCCAATGGACAGATCAAGGGTTATCGGGTCTACTACACCATGGACCCATCTCAGCCCATGAGCATGTGGCACATCCACAATGTACAGGACAGCGTGATCACCACCATTCAGAGTCTGGTGGCCACTGAGACCTACACCATCAGAGTGTTAGCCTTCACGTCAGTAGGAGATGGACCCTTCTCAGATCCCATTCACGTCAAAGTGCTTCAAGGAGGTTAGTTTGTCAATTTTTAGTGGTTATTTTCAGTGTTGGGTGAGCAAAAGATGTAGCAAGGAGAGTTTCACAATTGAAGAATATTTGTTGCTAATATTGGGCGATCTGATTGAATTTATTGAATTTGAATTGAATTTAGAGATTGATAAAGTCTGTTTTCAGTGTTCAGTGGGCTAACAATGTAGCAAGGTGAGCTAAGTGATTGAAAAATGTCTGTTGTCATGTTTGTTGGGCTAACAATGTACAGTAGAAAGGGGAGTTTTGCAATTGGAAATGCACATTGTTTGTATTGGTTGAGCTAATGGCGTAGCAAGGTGAGTTTCACAATTGAAAAATGTCTGTTGCTAAAACTGGGTGAACTAATAGTGTAGCAAATTGAATTTAGCAATTGAAAATGGCTTTTGTGTTTGGTGGGCTAAAGATGTAGCAAGGTGAGTTTAGCTATTGAAAAAGTCTGTTTTCAGTGATTAATAGGCTAAAGATGTAGCAAATTGATTTAAGGTCTCTGTTGTCATTCTTGAGTTAACCAAATATGTAGCCAAAGATAGTTTAGCATTTGGAAATGTAGTCAAAAACAACAGGTTAGCGATTGGGTATGTTTGTTTTCAAAGTTTGCAGGATTAGTTAAGCAATCGTAAATGTCATTATAAATGTATTTTGTTTTCAGTGTCACTAAAATGTAAGTACGCTACTTTATCTGGGTTATTGTTCTAACTCCGTTGCCACTGGGTAAATGTTTGCTCTACCACATTCACTAAATATACAGTTGTAAATCTCTGTTTGTTTATTTAGTTTCATGTCTATTAAACTATCAACACTGGCTCCATTTGTAGTCCCTGGACAGCCGACCAACTTCCAGGTTGGTGAGGTGTCAGACACGAGTGTTGAGCTAACATGGGAACCGGTCTTCGAGAAGGAGGGAATCATCAGTTACGAACTGCATTACAGCGAGGGCAGGCAGGAATCTCAGGTGCCTTCTCAACAACAAACCTTCTCAAATATGTTGTCAGGACCACTGTTGCACATGTCATTAGCAGTAACGTTATTATTTTCGGCCAAACAGGTAAAGAAAACATTCGGCCCAACCTCTTCCTATGTGGTGCAGGGTCTACGTGCAAATACAGAGTACTTCTTCTCTCTGGCTGCCGTCTCCAACAAAGGCATTGGAGCCTTCACCAACGAAATATCCCAAAGGACATCCCAAGCCAGTATGTAGTCCATTTCCTTTCCTAGGGACCCGAATGAAGGGGGGGGGGGGGGTC